TGAGTGGGTGAGTGAGTGGATGAAGGAATGAATGAGTGAATGAATGAATGAGGGTGAGTGAGTGGATGAAGGAAGGAATGAGTGAATGAATGAATGAGTGGGTGGGTGAAGGAAGGAAGGAATGAGTAGGTGAGTGAGTGGCTGAAGGAATGAATGAGTGGGTGAGTGAGTGAGTGAAGGAATGAGTGAATGGCAGGCCACACTGCCCCCCTTTCCAGAGGACCAAGCTGCGAGGGGCCCGGGGCTTCGGGCAAGGCTCAGAGCTGGGTGCGGTGAGGGAGCCTGAGCCTGGAGGGGGTGCTGCCCTGCTGGGGACCCAGCGAAGAGCAGCCCATCCCCTCTGGTCCTCTCATCCCACCGGGGAAGTATCCAGCCTACTGCAGCACTGCCCTCTGCTGGTTCCCTCCATGGGATCCCGCCTCCCTTCCTAGCCACTCTCAGGAGGCAGCGAGGACCTGGCTGGGGTCTCGGCTGTGGACACTGGTGACAGGTGGACTTCGAGGGTGTCAGGGGCTCAGAGCTGGGGATGGGGAGGCTTCCAGGGGCGGGGCTCCTGGGAGCTCCAAGAGGGGCCCTGCCCAGCGCACCTTCTCATCGGGTGTCGGGGAGAACATCTTCTCCTCCTCGGGGTGCTTGGAGAAGTCAAAGGGGTAGGATACCACGAGGTCGCCACCATGGAGGCTGGCGGACAGTGCGAAGGGCACGGCCCACAACCACTTCATGATCGCCTTCGTCTCTGGGGCCACCTGGGTGGGGGGCAGGGAGAGGAGGGCGGACGGATCTCAGGCCCCAGATCACAGGCCCCCAGTTCCTTCAAGCCCAACACCACCCATCCTTCTGTCCGGAGCTCTCCTCCCACCCCATGGGGATGCCACCCCCTCCAGGCAGCCTTCCTGGCCTCCATCCAGCTCCGGCACCCCTCTGCTGAGGCCGGGCAGGGAAACTCACAGCAGGTCTCTGGTCAGAAGCCTGCCCACCTGCGTACTCTCTGCACAGACATACTGCCCTGTCGGGGACCGAGCAGGGACACACCAGCAGGCCTCTGGCCCCTTCAGGGGTTCCTAGGAGACACTCAGTGTGCTAGCGAGAGACACAGTTGTCAACAGCGAGGGGTCTCTTATCTCACAGATGGAGGCTGCAGGTTCAGGGGAAGGCTCAGGATGAGGGGACCCCAGGCTCAGAGGGAGGTCCTGGGGGAGGAAGGCCCAGGAGTCCAGGACATGGGGGCGGGCAGCTGCAGGGTGGTGGGAGGACAGCTCCTACCTTACCCCACCAGTAGTGCTGGGGGATGGCCAGGTGGTCAGTGCGTGCGCCTCGCACCCCTGCCAGCCGGTAGTGCTCAGACGTTAGGTCGGGGAAGTTGCGGTTCAGGTCCAGGTTCTGCGCGTTCTGCCTCCCGCTTGTCCACCCATTGTATCCAGCACCCTGACAAACATAGCACCCTGGCATGCTCAGGGCCCCCCACTCTGGCTCCCCCAGGGGAAGGCGGAGGCCTGATGGGGACCGAGCTGGGCCCAAGGGGGTCTCTACAGCAGAATGAACATTGCTGGGGAGCAGGGCTGGAGCTGCCCTTGACCCCTCCTCCATCACTCTGCTCCTCCCTCCTCCTGCTCCCCCACTGGCTGCTCCCTTTACCTGGATTACCTGTCTGCTCACCTCACTTCTCCCTGCAGGCAGCACCTGCTCTCTCATGCAACCCCCACTCCTCCCGGCCCCCTTTCATCCTTGTTTCTCTCTGCAGCACCAAAGGCCTATAAGGACACCACAGTACTGCCCACCCACCCCCACCCCTTGGAAGTCAGGCCCTCCAGGAGCCTGATGCCCGTAGGCAGAATCCTGGCACCATGGCCCAAGGTAGGCTCACAATCCCGCTTGGTGACAACAGCATGCACTGGCCGCAGGGCCCAGGTGGTGCCCGCTCACCTCAGCAGCTGCCACTTCGTAGCCGTCTGGGTTCATGGAGGGCAGCAGGTGGATGCGAGTGGTGTTGAGCAGGCGCTGGACGCGGAGGTTGCCCTGCAGGTATTCGGAGCACAGGTACTGGGCCAGGTAGATGAGCATCTCGCGGCCGGCCACCTCGTTGCCGTGAATGTTGCCAATGAGCTTCACTTCGGGCTCCACTGGGAGAGACATGGGCATGGACGGGTGGTGGGCTCACAGTCCAGGAACCCTGGACCGATGGGCCCTTGCAGTTGGGGTGGCGCTGGTGAGGGGCTGGGCCATGGCTCAAGCAGCCCTGGGTCATGAGGTCTCACCACTTGCGTTGAGTTGCTGCTCTGT